TCTCTCCTCCTCTCTCTCTCTCTCTCTCTCCCTTTCTTTCTCACTCTCTCCTCTTTCTACAGTAGTGAAAATTGACAATAAATTTAACCGGAAAATAATTACATATAACTAACCCATCAAATTAGTATACAAAATGGAACACAATGATATGGAAATGAAGGCATTGATGACAGTAACTTTCCTTACGAATTTAATTAACCTACTAATTGACCAAGAATTAATTAGTTGTTAACCGTAAGGAAATACTCTAAAATACTTTCTATCAATGAAAAGATAAGACAGGCAAAGAGGAATTTTCTTATTACTTGTCTTATTAACAATTTACTTTTGGCCAATTGTTTAGTTGATGACAATTAACTTATGCTGTTTCATGTCACATTCACTGATAAGTTGTTGAAGTGGTACTGTAACTTTATATTTCTTATTATGTATTATTGTTTGGATGAAAAAATTAATTTGAATAGAAAGGAAATTACGCAAAAATAGAATTTTTATCAAGAAAGTATATCAGTTGCAAAAGATTATATCTTATCTTTTCTTTGTATAATAAATTTAATATATATTTGTCAAAATTATTTTTTTTCACTGGAATATATTATATTCTTTGCTTCAATGTGCATTTATTATTGCTTTAAATGAGACGGCTGATAACAATTATCAAATCAATATCGTAATCACTCATTAATATTTAAATTATCCGTTAGTTTCTCATTGCCAACCTAATAGTTTTACTTCATATAACAGTCCAAATTGTACAGTACGAAAAAGAGAAGCTAACTAATATCTGATAAGAAATCAAATATGTAATCATATTGTTTGAGAGATGATTTTTATTTATAACTGCAGCATTTGACGATAGTATTCATCAGTATAATATTTGAAAATCTCTATTAGAAATATAATATTTAAAAGCAGTATTCACAAGCATAACATTTAATAGATTATATTTATAAACACAGTATTATAGTAGTCATATGCATTGTATTAGGAGACTGTATTTATAAAGATAATTACGGTACTGGTAAGCATGGTTTTAAGGGAGTGTGCTTATTAAGAGAATAATTGAAGAGGAGATTAGACTGAAGGACGTAGTATAATATCCAAAGGATGGATGGATAGAAGAGAAACAACTGTTGCACTGATAAAGTCATTTGTTTTATCATCGCCGCCTTTCATTAAGAAAAGGGGAGAAGACGACAAATGTATCATTGATACTTCTTCATTCCTTGTTGTTATTCGTTCACTTTGCTACAAATAAATGTCTCAAAATTTTTCAGTTTTCATAAATGCCTTTTTTTTCAATTTTATTTCAAAGTTGGAAACATTACAATCGATGAGAAATTGTGATATTAAAGCGATGAATAGATGAAAGTAAGGTCAAAAGGGCAAATTGATTAATTTAATTGATAAATTTATTTCAAAATAGATGATGTTAACATGTTGAAACTATAAAAGAATTGAATAGAATTTTAGATTGCTAATCGATAATAATTTATTTTATCAAATTCAAGTTAGTATGTGATGCCAAAATAATATTTCGTTATTCGAAAAGAAATTATCAAACAATGAGGAAATTTGGTAAGTTTTATCATTGTTTTTATATGGGTAGAGATTAATTTTATATTTATTTACAAAGTCAATAAGCACTTTTTGAAAGATGCTTAAAAGACAAAAGAAAAGATTTAAAAGATAGAAAATATGGTTTCTGTTATGTTAAATGCGTCAAATGAAAAGTATCAAAGATATGCTCCGTTACAGTACTGCTATTTACAGCAAATGTTCAAACTTATAGTATACCACAGATATTGTGTAAATTGATGCTATATGTGCCATCTGATATCTTTACTTATAAAAAATAATTTACAAATTTCGGAACATGGATCAAATTCCATTTTGATCTTCAATCTCTCATTAAATTCTAATTTGAAAACAAAGACTTATCACATTTCAGTGCAAGATACTGCTTTATATGAAAAACAATTCCTATTATCAGCTGAACGTGGCGATCTTGAAAGTGTTCGAAAGCTGCTAGAAATTTACAAATCCACCAAAGCATTTAACATTAATTGTTTAGATCCGTTGAGAAGGTTGCGTAAAAAAAAATTTTTCCAGAAATTTTGAAAAGAAAAATATATCAAAAAGAATTTTTTTATTAGAACTAAAAGGAATTTATCCAATATTTTCTTTTATGATAGCAAAATTACTGCTGAAAGAAATTTAGCACAAAAATTTCTTTTTAAGTATTAAAAGGTAAGACAATGATTTTAAGCTTTTTGTTAATTTTATTATTTATAGGTCGGCACTTCATATTGCTGTCGAAAATGATAATATTGAGTTGATCGAATTGCTATTAGATTACAATATTAATACCGGTGACACTATCCTATATGCTATCATAAATGAAAATATTGAAGCGGTTGAAATACTTTTGGAACATTTGGAAAAAATTGGCAAATTCACTCCTGAAGTTAGTAATTATCGAATTTGAAACTTAAGTTTGTTCCATCACAAATGTGAAATTTTTTGGAACTTAGGTTTGTTCCATTTAAAAACCAGAAATTTTTGCAGCTAATTAATGTTTTAGTTTGACTCAGCAAGCTTCATTCGATTTTATTGATTAATTAAACAAGTTTTCTACTCGAAATTTGTTCCATATAGTAAAATAAAATTGAAATTTTTTTTTGTTTCAGAGAATAAAACTTCTTGTTTTTATAGTAAAATAAAAAATTTGATTTGATATCAATCATTCTTGCAGCTTATAAGAATAATTTAAATTTAAAATATTTAAAATTTTATTTAAAATATACTTTAATTTCAGACTCAAGGTGTTGAAATCACTACAAATTCAGCATTTACATCTGATATGACACCGATCATTCTTGCAGCTCATAAGGATAATTATGATTGTATCAAGTTATTACTAGATAAGAAGGCTACCATACTTCACCCACATGATGTACGATGTTTATGCAAGGAATGTGTGCAGGTAAATAAAATTACCGTACTCCATAAATATCGGTGCTACAGTAAACTATTTTGAAATGAAATTAAATTAAAGAATCTTTTAAAAAAAGTTCTAGGAAGGCTATTCTCTGAAACTAATGAGAAAAATTTATGATTGCTTCTTTCTACCAATCTTTGATAAATTTTTAGAAAAAGAAAGTCATTATGAGGAGGTCAATTCTGATAGAATGACCTTTTAAGATTCAAAATTTGTAGGCAAAGGCAGAAGATTCATTATGTTTCTCACAATCACGTATTAACACGTACCAGGCGTTAACCAGTCCATCACTTATCTGTTTATCCGCAAAGGATCCTATACTGTATGCATTTGAGCTCAGTTATGAGCTTAGACAATTATCAAATATTGAAAATGAATTTCGAAATGAGTATGAAGTAAGTGAGTGATTCAAGGAATTTGCTTGCAAAATTCTCCTTTTCTATTATTAATTGATCAAATGTTTATCAGAAAAAAAAAACTTACAAACGACAAGTTTTAACTTACCAAGAAATTGTTCATTACTTTCAATTATTTTAGTTTAAGGATTATTTTGAGCATTTAAGATTTGTAAATTTTCAAAAATTCTTTTCCATTAAAAATTTGCACTTTTCTTGTTTCCCTTTCCTTTCTTTTTTTAGAAAAAAACTGGTTTTATTAAATATCTGATTTATTTTTGACAACGGTTAAGTGTAAAAAAAATTGGATAAAAAAATATTCCTAAATTCGAATTCGTTTCCATTACTTTTAACTTCGTTAATAATTTTGCCGCAAAGTGTTCAACAAATGTTTCGAATCGCGATATTCAAATATTATGAATACTAAATGAGAAATTGATAAGGCTGGTCATGCTGGTCAAGCATGGTCACCATGGTCACCATGGTGACATGATCATTTGTTATCAATGTACATATGAGATATTTTCAGGAGCTTAGTCGAAAATGTCAATCGTTTAGTGTAAACATGTTAGCACAAGTACGTGGATCCAAAGAATTAGAAACTGTCTTAAATCATACGACAAATGCGTGGGAAGAAGTGACAGAAAAAAAGAGTGCTAATTTTTGTCAAAATTTAGCAAGACTAAAGCTTGCTATTAAACTTAGACAAAAAATTGTAAGTGATCCGTGAAATTTTGGAATTTAATGAAAGTTTAGAATTTTTATAAAATTATTTAAAATTGATACTTACGTGGAATAATTTTCGATATATTTTCGATTAAGGAAATTTGCCTTTTAAAAGTTAAAAGTTGAAAAAAAAGGGTAATTGAATCAAGCGATTATTTCATAAACAAATGCATAGTTTTAGTGTGAATTATAATTATAATTTCTGACAGTTCAAATTTCCAATAATAAAATTAATTAAAATTGATACTTGGGTGGAATAATTTTTGGCATGTTTTCGATTAATTTTCAACTTTGCATATTAATTAATCAGTTGTACTACTGAATTGGTTAATTGATTGATTTTACTTATTTAAAGTGATAACGTTTGACTGAGTGACTGACAATATTATTTTAATACGATCACTGATAGTACTTTACCGATAGTGTACGATCTTTAAAATAGCTACTACTAGGGGTCTTTCAGTTCGTTGCACATCCAAACTGTCAACAATTGTTATCCGCGATATTTTATGAGGGTCTTCCCGGATTCCGTGACCGTCACATTGTCACAAAGGTCAGCTTATGATTTCATTTATGATAAACTACTTTCTCTGTGTATTTATAAAATCATCATTCTTTTATACATCCTGTACCGATCAGTGATTGCCGAGAGACATGAAAATATTTCAAATCATTGAAATATCACAAAATATTTTTTTTAAATTATAAATAAATTCAAATTATTTATACGGATCTTCCGAATTTAGTTAAAGAATTTATTCAAAAGTTGTCAAATGCTTACTGGTAATTTTATAGAAACAGCTCGTTGTACCGCATTTTTGCATGGTACTTTACCATCAATTTAAATGAGTAAGAAACTAAATTTTAACAACCTTTAATATTTAGATTCTCATTGAATAATTTGTTTATCATTGCCGATCAATTAATTTAAGGAAATTATTAATTCACTTATCTTTATTAATAATTTAATTAGAAAGTTAACCTACGAATATCTCAAAAAAAGAGATCGTTTATTAGATTTTATAAAAAAAAGCGATTTTATGCAAAACATACTTTTAAACTCGTAATTTTCGATAAATTAAAGGAAATTTCAGGTATTGATTATCGTGGGAGTATCCATAGCTTCACCTTTATTAGCTATCATTTATCTTATTGCGCCTAAATCATCATTTGGTGAATTTGCTCGCCGGCCATTTATCAAATTTCTAAGCCATTCAGCTTCATATTGTTTTTTTCTTTGTTAGTTTTACTTTTTGTTTTTTCTTCAACTCAAAATATATGCCAAAAAAACGCAAGAAAATTGTTTGCTAATATATGCAAAAGTGCGAAAAAAATTTTCAAAAAAGTTCAATCAGTAAACATTTTCAAAAATTATTGTCAATATCGCAGAAATTAATTAATTAACATTAAATATTTTCAGTTCTACTTCTTCTTGCTAATCAACGAATTAATTATGATTTTATCCTTGGTACCAAATCAGTGTCATCGACATCAGATGAGTATGGTGAAGATTTAGATCGTAAAGAAGTACGTGGTCCACCACCAACACTTGTTGAATTAGCCATTCTTTTATGGATTTTCGGTTAGTTATATATCTTTCATTGTTTTTTCCGATATAATTGAATCCAATTAACTTTTGTTTATGGCTTAATTAATTTCATTCATTTGATACATACAATAAGTTAACAGCAAATTGATTGTTCCTTCCATTTTTAATTAACTAAATTAATGTATGATTTTGAAATAGTCGCAATTGAATTTGTGTACACTTTTAAGGATAACAAATAAATAATTAATTATTAGTAATTGACTTGAAATCAATTTTTGTTGTTTGTTTGTTTGTTTGTTTTTTGATTTGAACATGAAAACTGTACTTTAGGTTTGGTATGGGTTGAAATAAAGCAATTATGGAACGAAGGCCTTTGCGATTACTGTTCCGATTTATGGAATATCCTTGATTTTGTAACCAATGCATTGTATTTATGTACTGTTGCACTTCGAATTGTTGCCTATTTGCAGGTCAAATTATCGTTGAAATTTACATTTATGTACTTTTTGTAGGAGCTAAAACGAAAAAAGAAGAAAAGTTACGTTCATTACCATTTTATTTTAGGTTGAAGCAGAAATACGCAATCCACAGATGCGACATTTAGGACGTCGCATTTTACGACGTGATTGGGATGAATGGGAACCAACGTTGATCTCAGAATGTGCCTTTGCAACGGCTAATATTTTCTCATCCTTGAAAATGATTCATATCTTCACTGTTAATCCACATCTTGGACCACTTAGGATATCACTTGGTTATCACTAAGCTTTTTGATTCATATCTTCATTGTAAATCTACATCTTGGACCACTTAGGATATCATTTAGTTATCACTAAGCTTGTTTTCACAATTGATATCAAATTGGTACGTTTATTGTGATTAAAAAAATGGGAAGCTTGCAAGCAAAATGAAAGTTATAATTTGATATATTAGTTTTCAGGTCATTTTTGATAAGTTTCAGGTCGTATGGTTCTGGACATTGTCAAATTTCTTCTCATTTATTTCCTTGTACTATTTTCGTTTGCTTGTGGCCTGAATCAGTTATTATGGTACTACGCAGCGATGCGTCAGCAGGTTGGCCACATCCTTCTTCTCATTTACTGCGAATAAACTGATACCATATCATTATGTTAAATATTCAATGAAATAAACAAACAATAGATGTGTTAATGGGCCAATTTCTAATCCAAATTCATTAAAATTTCGATAAAATATCTTCAATTTCAAGCTTAAATAAACGAAAAACACATTTAAAAGTCCTCTTAAATGGTTCCGGATCCTGCAAGGTCTTGATGCTACTTAGAAGACTTTATGCATTTCCGGATCCATAAAATTTCAACAGTGTTTGAAAGGCCAGCAATAATTTGATTTTTTTAAAGGAATGTAACAAATACCAATCACTGATTAGCAATTCAACGCATACTGTCCCAGCGAATGAATTGGTTCGGATGGAAGAATCATGCGATCCAAAATATCGAGCCTGCGAAAGGTTAACGATTAAACCTCTCTAACTTTAATTAATTTCAATCATTTATGAAATATCTGTAATGAAATCTTTTCCCTTCAGATTGGTTATGATCCAATAAATTTTCTTTTTTCTTTTTTTTGCTTTACTTCGCCAATTTTTTGCTTAGTCTAAAACATAGCACTCAAAATCACATATTTTCATCCCAAATAACAAATGAAATATATTAGGCACAGAAAAAGCAAATGAGACAAATAAAGGCAATTAATTTGACTATAATCTTCCTGAGCCAAATGATCCTAGTTACTGTTGAACTAATAACAATAAGATATCTTTCCAAAAATAATGAACAATGAGATAATCTCAACAGCATTAGAAAAGAACAACGAGAAACGAAAAAGAAGCCAAGAAAATACGGGGAAAAAATTTCGAAAAATTTATGTCTAAGCTTAATTTAATAAAACATTATATTTTTTAATAATTTATCTGTTCAGAAATGATATCAATAAAAATGATTTAGTAAATGATATTAATAAAAATTGAAATATCAGCAAAAGTGGTAAATAAATATTCGATTATTATTATTATTGTTATTATTATTATTTATTATTATTATTATTA